CACATGTGTCAGAGGAAAACTGGGCTCCACAGGGTTCTCAGTGGCTGATTTTTTGGAAGTGTATCGCCAGGCCTTTCTTCGGAGGTGCCTCTGGGTGGACTCAAACTGCTGGCCTTTCAGTTAGCAGCTGAGTGTGTTCACCGTTTACACCGCCCGGGGAGTCCTCAGTTTATGACACTGACCTTTCGTAAGTGCTGCGCACACTGAAGTGTTCAGGCAGCAGAAGACCGTGTCTGCCGTGTGTTTTCAAACGCACCAGAAGATGGAGGGAGGGGTGAACAGACGTGGATGTGGCTGCAAGTAGAATCAAAGGCTGATGGTTAACACGAGAACGGGGTTCTTCCACCTTGATCTTGGTCCTTTGGGGCCGGGTCCTTCTCGGGTGGGCTCATCCTGTGCACTGTAGGGTGTTGAGCAGCATCCCTGGCCTCCACCCACTTGATGCCAGTAGCACACACACCCCGCCCGCCTGTATTAGCTCCTGTCTTAGGCTGGGTTCTCTAGAGAAGCAAAACCAGTAAAGGGTATAAATATATATATAGAGAGAGATTTATACCAAGGAAACAGCTCACGCGATCGTAGAGTCCGTGGATCAGGGTAGAGGCCTCTCCCAAGTCACACAGCCGCAGAAGCTGGCAAGCCCAAGATCGGCAGGTCGGAGAGCAGGGCTCTCCCGCTCACAGGCTGTGCAGATCGACGGATCCCAGGTTCGGCAGATAAGCTGACAGCTCAAGTCCCAAGAACGGGAGATGAGACGACAGGAAGCAGCTACAGGATCCAGAGAGAGAGCAAAAAGCCAGAACGTCTGCTTATATTCAGATGCGGGCCACGCCCCCAAGGAGACTCCCTTTCATCTGACTGGCTACTCACAGTATATTCAGTCACGGGAGTGATTACATTAAAACACGGAGAATCATGGCCCAGCCAAGTTGACACACAATCTTAACCATCACAGCTCCCTAAGAATGCTGTAACAAATGACCACAGACTGGGTACCTTACAACAGCAGGAATCTATTCACTTACAGCTGTGAAGGCCAGAAGTCCGAAGTCGGGGTGTTGGCGGGGCTGGTTCTCCCTGGAGCCTCAGCTTCTGGCGGTGGCGGCCATCCTTGGTTTGCAGACACATCACTTTAATCTCTGCCTCCATTGTCACGAGGCCGCCATCCCTCTGCGTGACTGTGTCCAACTTTCTTCTTAGAAGGACACTGGTCATTGGATTTAGTGCCCCCCTACTCCAGAAATGAGGAGCCCTGGTGGCGCATCGGTTAAGTACTCAGCTGCTCACCGAAAGGTCGGTGGTTCCAATCCACCCAGTGGCTCCGAGGGAGAAAGACCTGGCGATCTGCTTCTGTAAAGATGACAGCCTAGAAAACCCTATGGGCAGTTCTCTTCGTCACACGGGGTCGCTCTGAGTCGGAATCGATTAAAATGGCACCCGGCAACTCGTCCTTCTCCAGTATGACCTTGCCTTCACTTGACTGAATCTGCAAAGACCTTGTTTCCAAGAAGGGTCCCAGGAGTCAGGGTTTCACCGTGTCTTCTTGGGGGACATTTAAACGCACAGACACATCCCCCTTCCCCTCCCTGCAGTTCTGACAACCCAAAACGTCTGCAGACATTGCCAGCGCTCCCCGGGTTGAGAAGCAGTGGTCTGGGTGGTTAGTGTATATTGTGGTCGGCTGGCTTCATCTGGATGTGTGTACAGTAGAACATCAGCGTAAAGTAACACGGAAGGGGAAGCGGGATGGTCCCGATGGCTCAGGGCGAAGCTCGGGGCCAGCGCACAGGGCTTCCTTATGTCTGTTTTGGTGCATGTTCGAAGCCTTCCATAATAAAAAGATTTTTTTAGTTAAAAAAAAAAAGACCTTTGAGAGATTAATTTGGAAATGTCTGCGGATGAAATCGACTTCAGAGTAATCCAGGGTGGGGAAAGGGTGGGCATGGAGGTGGTGAGGGGGTGGCCAGGCTTGGGCACGTGGGGGTCTGCTTTAGCGTCTCTTTTCTCTCTTTACTTCTGTATGTATTTGAGATTGAAGTGAGGCGATTAATGCAAGGAAGCATGTGAGTGTTTGGGACAGCGCCCCCAGCTGAAGCCCACCAGGATGAGGGACTTGACCCCTCGGGGGTAAGGTCGAAGGGCAAACCAAGCCAAACCCGTTGCCATCGAGTGGATCCCAACTCATGGCAGCCCCGTGTGTTGCGGGGTAGAACTGTGCTCCATAGGGCTTCGTTGACTAATCTTTTACGGATCGGCAGGCCTTTCTTCCGTGGTGCCAAGTAGTCGAGCACAAACCAGGGACCCTGGTAGCGGTCGGGTGGAAGAGTCTAAATGCTCATTCTCATGGGCAGGAAGTCCTGGAAAAGGTCGGAAAGTTGGTAAATCAAAGAACAGCTTTTGTGCCTTTACAAATGTGGAGGAAGATTCCAGAGACCATGGAAAAGGGGTCCCCTCTGGGGAGCAGGACTTGGGTGGGTGTGGGCCGGGCCCATCCATGTCCATCATTAGGATATTAGGGATATTTTGACTTTGCTTTTAACTCATATGCATGAATTATTTAGGAAAGAACAACATATTAGGGAAACTGGAACCAAGAACAAAAATGCAGCAACGGAGACACAGCTCAGGCGGGCGCTTTACAGGGAGGAGCAGGGGTGGGAGTGGCTTGAGGTCTGTGTCCGGGATGCCCCTGACTTGGGCTCAGAGACCTAGCTGCCCAGCGTGTGATGTTGGAAGGGGATGTTGCTGTGGCCAAGGCCCCTGCCCCCTCAGTCCTCACTGCTAGGGTCTTGGGCTCCTTCGCCAGTGGGCCTTCACCATCACCCTCAGGGAAGTGCCTGGGGTGGGCGGGCCCCCTGGGTGGGGGGTGGCACCTGGGGCCGGGCGGGCCCTGTGGGTAGGGTGGTGCCTGGGGCTGGGTGGGCCCCCTGGGTAACATCTACCATCCAAGGTGGCCTTGGTCCCTTTCCACTGACAGGAGTGGGGCTGCTGGGACAGGACTGTGGGTGTGGGGACCCCAGAGGGCATGGGATGCTGTGGCTAGCCTTGTGGGCAGTGTGAGGGGGAGATGACATCGTGTGGACAGACAGACACGTGGAGTCCTTGCTGCTGCTGCTAAGTGCTACAAGGTCCCAAGGGACTCAAGGTGTAGGGTGAGGGTCTCCCCAAAGAGGGGGTGTTGGGGTCTGGCCTAGTGCCACGCCACACAGGACTGGTCAGTTTGGGGTCTCCACCCCAAGAGCCGGGGCATGGGGCCTTGGCCTGCTCTCCCTCCTGAGATCCCAGCACCTGCCAAAGGCAGTCCTGGCCACTCCTGACTGAGGTGGCCGAAGCTGAGGAGGGGGCCTAGGGTGGGTGTGCACTTAGGGTCCAGTGTGGGGCCCAGGGCCCAGCTAAGCAGAGGACCCAACTGGGCCAGCCTCCCAAGCACAGGCTCTCCCCACGTGAGGGCGGTGTCTGCGTGGGCTCCTGAGGGCTAGGCAGGGCTGAGACATGGAAGCAGGCAGACCCCGTACAGGAAGGAGCCAGGAGAGCGATGCAGCCTCCCCGACACCTCGTCCCGCTCCCCAGAGGGGACCCGTTAGAAATTAAAACAAGGCTCCAGTCACACCGCCTCAGATGGCTTTATTCCCTGGCTGGCTGTGGACACAGCGGTCCTGTCACCTGCAGCCAGTCCTCCACGGACGGGGCTGAGGCCACAGCTGGTCTGAGGGCAGGACCGGGTGCCCGGGTCCTCAGCGGGTCACCCCACCCTCGGCAGTGCTCTGACTGGCTTTTGAGAGGACAGTGGTCAGCAGGGCCTGGCCAGCGTCCTGGGGCCATGCCTGGGGAGAGGCGAGGGGGCTGGAGCCCCTCACTGGAGACAAGCCAAGCGGGCATGTGGGGGTCAGCCCGACAGGCTGCCACAGGGGCTTCCGCTGGGCCACGCGCAGTCCTGCCTGCTCCCCGTGGGCGCTGACAACACCTCTGAGGGCTGGGGGGGGACGGGGCCGGGCAGCTCTGCCCGATGGGACAGTGAGGCGGTGACGGGGACTATCTGGGCAGTCAACGCCCAGTGCACTGGCCATTCTGGCCCCAAGTTCCTTGGGGAAACAGAAGCAGAGGCTGGATGAGGGGCGGGGGCTGGGCTGGGGACAGCAGGCTGGCCCTTGGTTCCATCCTTGGCAGGGGCTGGGCGTCTGTGGGCAGTGGGCCCGGCAGGCGGCGGGCTACGCATCCCGGCCCCGAGGGATGGCCCTGGCCTCAGTCTCTGCCCTGGCAGGCCGCGTCCGCCACGGGACGTGCCACAGCGGGCACCACTTCTGCTGCTGCTCCAACCCCAGAGAGCAGACGCGCCCGTCTGTCCAGTGCTGGCAGGACAGCATCGGGCGCACAAAGGTGGTGCTGGTGCTCGGCTGGCAGACGCGCAGGGTGAGCACTCGGGGCCGCGGACCCGCAGAGCGCGGCCTCAGCCCTCCAGCGGGCTCTGCTGTGTCCGTCACGGAGGAAACCAAGACACAGAGGCCGACCGCACCTCAGGCCGTGGCTGAGCCAGCCGGGCTGCCCCCGGGCCCGCTCCACCTTGTGTACCCCTGCCAGGCCGGGCGGGGGTCCTGTGCCCTCGGCCATGTCTACAGGGAGGGACTGCACAGCCCCCACGCTGGGGCCCAGGCTCCAGGTGAGGCGGCGGGGGCCGGTCCGTGTCCCGAAGCAAGGGCCGCCCTGCCCTTGTGCAGCAGACACACAGAGGTGATGTGGCGACATGGGGACAGATGCCAGCCTCACGCAAATCACCGATTTATTGAAGGAGGCGCCTTCCGAGTCCTGTCCTTGGTGTCAGGAGTGACCGCGGCTCTGCCGGCCCTCGGGTGGCTCACGGCAGGCGGGGTCCTCCACCCCTTCCAGAAGGGTGACGCTGGCAGGAGAACGGCATCCACATGCAGCGCAGACGGGAGGCCAGGCTGCGTATACACATCTCTCCAGCCTGTGGAGACATGGTGCAGGGGGACTCTCACAGGCCACCCTGGTGCCGGCGCCCCAACAGCGACTTTCTGGTTGTGGGAGCCAGCATGGCGGCCACAGGGAGTCTGGGCGTTGTGGGGAGACAGACGTCGTGAACGGCCCCTCTGGAGTGGCTCCGGCTGGCTCCTGAGGAGGCGGCCTTGCAGACGCTGCTATGCGCTCAGCCCAAGTCCAGGGTTGGGGGGAAGCCACGGCCCTTGAGTGGCAGCGTGTCCGGACCCCAGGCCTCTGGGAGGAGCATCGGGCAGGTGTCCATCTGGGCTGTGCTCATGCAGCCCGGAGTAGGGGGCTGCCCTCCTGGCCTGGTCCCAGTGGCTGAGGGCTGAGTCTGCAGGCAGCCCCCAGGGCGTGGGGCACACTCAGGCAGGGCCCCTGAAAACAACAGGAGCGGCGCAGTGAGGAACTGAGCGAGGAGTGGGGTCAGGGCACCCCAAGTCCTCCATCTGCTCCAGCCGCACAGCTCAGGGGTGGGGGCTTCCAGAGGCTGCCCACCCGCCCCGGGTGCAGCACCCCCACCCCCGCCCCGCAGCCCCGCGCCTGCTCTGGCACCGGCTTTAGGCGTGCTCCAGCTCCTGGTCGGGGTCGGGCTCCTCCTCCTCCTCGTCCTCATCCTCGTCCTCCTCCTCGTCCACTCCAGCCTTGTCCAGGGGCGCCTCGCCGTCGCGCGCCAGCTCCTCCACGTGGGCCAGCATGTCGGCCATCAGCGCCTCCTCCAGCCGCTTGCGCACCTGCTGTACCAGCTCCTCCTGCTTCCTGGGGGCACACGGACGCACCTGTGGGCACAGGCGGGCGCCGGCAGCCCCCTCCCGCCGACAGAGGAGGACGGCGAGGGTCCCCCGGAGAGGCCAGCACGTACACGACAAGCACTGACAGACCCAGAATGTGGGCAGCCAGGGCGTGAGACCCAGGTCTGCGGCAAGTCCCGGGCATGGAGACAAGTGGGGAGATAGGGTGGAGAGCACAGAGTTCACAGACAGGGTCACAGCAGAGAAGAGGGCCAACTGTGAGGGGGGCCACTGGGGACCCTCACTGGGATCTGACGTGGACTGGGCTGACTGTGCGAGGGGCGGAGATGATCAGAGAGGAAATGAGGACGGCCACGTGCCACCTGCTGAGCTGGGGAGTGGGGCTGTTACGCTCTCGGCTATGCAGGCAGAGAATTCTAGTTGGTAACAACTCGTTCTCTGCCCACTGTCGCTTGGCTTCCATTGCTGCTGCTGCTCAAAAAAGTATGCCGTCCACACACTTGTTCCTGGGGGACGGTCTGCCCTCCCCTCCGGCTGCTTTTCGGATCACCTCGTCTTGGCTGTTCTGCATTTGCTCTACAGCGTGAACCTGAGATTCGGTCTCCAGTTCTGGGAAATGCTCAGCCAGTATCTCTTCGTCCAGGTTCCTCGTTTACTCCTACCAGCCCTGTGTTGGCTCCACAGAGGTTTCATCCCCGGTGACAGGGTGGGGCGCAGGGGGAGTCTCCCCAGACACTGTAACCATGGCCCCTTCAAGTACATCCCTAAAGAACAAGGATGCCTGGCACTTCCTCCAGCAGACGCCTGTCTGGCTACGACACCAGGAAGAAAGGGTGTCCCGCCACGGCCCTCCCCCGTGAGGCCTGAGCTGAGAGCACGGCTGGGGACGGAGTGTCTCTGCTCTTTCCTCCAGTAATCTAGACTTGCACCACCGGTGTGCCTGCTTCCAAGCCCCGGCAGCCCCGGCAGCAGAGGAAACCTCGGGGCAAGAGGAAAGTCCGCGCGTGCGCAGGGACACACCTGCCCCCGACCCTTGGGGTGGCGTGAACTACCTGATGTCCTCGTCAGTCACCATGAAGGCCTTGCAGAGGGGCTGCGTCGTGTTGAGCCACACGCCCGGGTTCTTCTCCACGGCGGCCGAGAGCTGCCCGGTGATGGGCATCGTGCTGGTGTGCAAGGCGCTGGCGATGGCTGACAGCAGGGTCTCGTCCGTGCAGCCGGGCCCCACGCCTGCAGAGCAGACAGCCCAGGCGGGCGTCACGGAGCGTCAGCATGAGCCCCCATGAGGGGATGCGGGCAGGTGGGGAAGCCCAGCAGGAGACGTGCGGGCAGGGAGTTTTTCCAGCTTCCTGAGCCTCGGGCTTCATGTCCCGGTGTTCCCGTGTACGCATGGACTCGCTTTTGTAACAGAACAAAACACGGGCCTGCGTTCACAGGGACGGTGAGGAGCAAAATCACACACCCCCACGGTTCTTTTTAGGACGCTGTTCTTGGCTGAGACCCCCTCAGGCAGGTCGCCTGTGGGTTGCAGATCCCCCACTGCCTGGGGCTTGGGGCTCAAGTGTGGGCCCTGGAGGCAGACCGCCGCTCCCTGCCCCTGTGCCACCCGCACACCAGCTGAAGTGAGGACTGCAGGCCTGACAGGGCCCGGCCTGCCTGCAGGAGGGCTCAGGGGCGGCATCCCCCTCCAAGCCTCCCTGCTGCCACAGGCGGCCGGCTTACCTTGCAGGCCCTTGGGGAGGTCCATGGTCTTCACCAGCTCCTCCGCAATGTCGAAAGCATTCAGGCCGCTCAGCTTCTTCTCCCAGAAAAGCTGCCGCCAGACAAGACAGTGGTGAGTGTGGATGGGCCTGGCACCCCGGCCTCACGTCCAGCCCGTTCCACCTCGATGCAGAGGGACCCTGCCTGAGCATCCACATGTTCACATGCAGGGACGGCCGTCTGCAGCTGTCACGGCCGCCGTAAGGGTACAGGTGGGCTGAGGTTCCAGGAGCACAGGGCTCCAGTCCCTGCCTGCCTACGCCGCCGGCCCCCGTGGGCCCTCACGGGGGGCGCCTGGGCAGGAACTGAGACGGTGGGACTCCTGCGGGCACTGTGCCCCAGAACCATGCAGTGCCCACACGTCCCCCCAACGCCCCAGAAAGCCTGCCCACAGTCATCTGGGCTCAGACGGCACTCCACGCTACAGGCGAACCCGTGGCGTTCCCCAGGAGCGTGACCACAGCGTCGATTATGGAAAGCCTGAGTGTCAGGACGTCTGGACTTCTCTCCTGGAGCTGTGCTGCCAGCTGGCTCCCAAAAGCTCTCTTTCTGCTTCTGAAGACCCCCTGCTGCCCCTCCTAGGCTGAGCACAGGAGGCTGTGCTGGCTTCTCAAATCACACCTTGTTGTGGACTCAACTGTGTCCCCCAGAAAGATCTGTGCACGTCCTAACCCCTGGAACCTGGAACACAACCTTGTTTGGAAACAGGGTCTTTCAGGTGTACTTAGTTAATGGGGGTTACACGGCAGCGGGGTGGGCCCTGATCCAGTGACAGGCATCCTTCTAAGAGACGGGAACACAACACACACACGGAGACGCCGTGTGGCGACAGAGGCAGGCAGGGGAGCATGCAGCCACAAGCCAGAAACACCCTGGGGCCACCAGAGGTAGAGGACAAGGAAAAACCCCCACCCCCCACCCCAGAGCCTCTGGAGGAAGCACGGCCCTGCCCACACCCTGAATTCAGGCTCCTGGCCTCCAGGACAGAGGAAGACAAAGCGTCTGTTGTTTCAAGCTGCCTGGTGTGGATAGGACAGACCCAGGACACTCAGATGCACACAGAGGCAGATGTCATGACCTCTGAACTCCACTTGTATAAAACGGGGCTGGGGCCTGACAGGGCTGTGAACCGCTGTCAGGAAGGCCGGGATTCCAGCAAGTTCTGTGCATGGCCGCGGAGTATCTGAGCCTCGGCTGCGTGAGCCCGCCCCACCCGGCACGAGCTCGATGGGGACGGGGGCTCTCTCAGGAGGAGAGGCACAAAGGACAGGTGCACCCGCCCAGACAGGAACCTTCCAGCTGCTTGATCAGCAGCCTCTTTCTTCCAAGACTCCTGGTCACAAGCACTGCCTGAGGAGAGCAAAGCAAGGGGGCCCAGCAGGGCAGGGCTGCGGGGCCACGAGTGGGGTGAGCATAGCCAGGGTGCGTGGCTGAGGGTCCTGGGGCCCCACGGTGGTGGCTTAAAACAACAGAATGTTCTTCTCTCCGAGTTCTGGAGGCCGGAAGTCTGAATTTGGGGTGCTAGCTCTGGGGGAAGCTCTCTCTGTCCACTCGGGGAACATCCTAGCCTCAGCTTCTCCGGCCCTGGTGCTACTTGGTTCCCTGGAGAACCCCCGGTGGCGTTTCTCTTCCGCCGCTTGTCCCCTGCTGTGCCCCATCAGCCACTTTTACATCCAGATGGATTAGGGTTAGGGCCCAGCCTGCACTGATACGGCCTCATTAACGTAACAAAACCCTACTCCCAGTGAGATCACACTGACAGGTACCAAACCACTTGCCCCAAAGCAACAAAACGCCTTGCTGTCCTGTCAACTCCGACTCTGGTCCTACAGGACAGAGTAGAACCGCCCCAGGGGTTTCCAAGGAGCGGCTGGTGGATTCAAACTGCGGATCTTTGGTTAATAGCTGATCTTTTAACCACCGCGACACCAGAGATAAAGGGTTTAGGATTTATGGCACGTATTTTGGGGGGCCACATTCAACCCCTAACAGCCACATCCCTGTAAGTGGAGCTTCGGGGTCAGGCTTGGCAGCCAATGCTCAGTGACCCCCAGCTGACGCGCTCTTATGCCCACAGGTGGGGCCCCCGGCTTCTTGCCCAGCGGCCACTGTGCCGAACAGAGCTGCCCGTCTCTGCCCACAACAGCCCGTTACAAAGCTCATAAATAAATGAACTCATAAATAAACCGCCAACAGTTTGCAACTATCAAAAAGCACGTTATAAAGCTTATTTAAAACATCTCCCTGCAGAACTGAAAAATTTATCTGAGAAAATAAGGGCCCAGTGGCACTGTAGTTAAACAGCTCGGCTGCTAACCAAAAGGTCGGCAGTTTGAATCCACTAGCCGCTCCTTGGAAACCCTATGGGGCAAATTCTACTCCGTCCTGTAGGACCACTGAGTCGGAGTTGACGCGATGGCAAGGCGTTTTGTTGCTTTGGGGCAGAGAGCCACAAACTCCACAGCCGCCGTCTTGGTGGTGGGCAGCTGTGGGCCATGGCTGTGCACCCGCCTGCACCACCCCGTGGGCCTGCACCGCCCCACCACCGCCCCACACGCCCGCACCGCCCCGCGCGCCCGCACCATCCGTTTCTGTTGAACTTCATTCTAAAACGAAATGCCTCTCACCGGGATGCGCAGTTAAGGGACGCGTGACGTGAGCTCTGAGGGGCACTCCAAGCTCTAAGCGACTGCCACCAGTGCTACAAAGCGCGTCCTTGGTGAAACCCTCCTGCGCTATGACGACAAAGGGCTGGGGCAGTCCCCAAGGTGCCAGCGGCGGCTCACCTGCCGGGGCTGGTCCACGGCCTTCTGGGGGTCGCTCTTCACCTTGTTGCTGGGGTGGTTGGTGATCTTGGTTACTGGCTGCTTGAAGATGGAGGCCGTCTGCCGCACCGGGAGCGCCGTGTTCAGGTCGGGCTTGCCCTGCAGAGATGCACGCTGGTCACCGGCCCTCAGGGCGCCCTGCTCTGCCACACCCTGACAGCCAGCATGGTGGCCACCGCCACCCTCTCCCGGCACCAGAGACCCCCATGTCCTGGGACCCTACGCCGGCGAGCCCCCACTCCACCTCGTATGCGCCACAGCTCTGCCCCCCCCCACCCCATCCCACAGGGCCCCCACCGGTCTCGGCCTTCCCTCTGGCCCAGTCCTGTCTCCTCGCTTCTAATCACAGACCAGATGGCACGGCATCCCTCCTGTGCCCGAGGCCCGGCCCACCTCCGCAGCCCTCAGGCAGCCGAGGGACCATCATCCCCACTGCAGGACTCGACATCACACCCTGAGGCACCCACGATTCTGGAGGCCGACACCTGGGGAGCAGCAGGTGCGGGGCCCTTGCCCTCTCCCAGCCCGGGGTCGCTGCTCCCCAAGCAGAGTCTCTGCTCTAATGCACGCCTGCTTCCCCGTCGTGGGCAGCCATTTGAGCCGTTTTCTCCTCTATTTGGGGGTGACGGCTGCCCCACCCTGGGACTGGGTACACACCCCGCGCTGCTGCCCACCCCTCACTGCCCGCCTGGCCGGCACCCGTCGAACCCCCAGGGCAGCAGCTTCACTGGGACAACACCCCGAAGCCCCAGCAGGAACCCCTTAAGAAGAAGACCGTGCACCCCACTGCGGACTGTCACGCAGCCGCTGAAAATGCGGGAACGCCAGTGTCACACACGCAGACCCGAAGGCACAGCGGCCACA